GGTGCTAAAGGCCTTTCTAGCCCAAGGCATCAAATGCTTCCACCATTCCCCAAAACAACATGGTCAGGACCACTAATAGCAACACTTTTTAGTACCAATTTCTCATCTAGTGTGCTTTCTGTCACTGAGACTGAAGATAGTTGTGTTTATCCTCTTATTCTTTCGTGGGCCCGCCACCCAGCTCCCAAGCAAACACACATGGAGATCTTTTCTTAACTTATAAATGACCGGCCTCAGCTTGGCTTGTTTCTAGCCAGATTTTCTTTACATAAATGATCCTGTTTATTTTTGCCTCTGGGCTTTTAACTTTCTCTATTTCCATATATCTTTTCTTTCTTTCTGCATCTGACTGTGTGGCTGGGTAGCTGGCGTCTGAAGTCCTCCTCCTCCTTCTCTCTCTCTCCTCAATCTTTTTCTTCCCAGGTTTCTCCTTCAATTTAGTCTCTCTGCCTGTCAACCCCGCCTATCCTTTCTCCTGCCTTGCTATTGGTCATTCAGTTCTTTATTTGACCAATGGCCATTCAAATCTTTGTTAGACCAATCAGGTGTTTTAGACAGGCAAAGTAACACAGCTTCACAGAGTTAAACAAATGCAACATAAAAGAATACAACATATCCTTGTATCACTAAGCAAATGTTCTACACCATAAACAAATGCAACACATCTTAAAATAATATTCTACAACAATTGACCCATAGCAATTTCAAGGTGTGGGAGAGGTGGGAGTTGTTACAGGTTACAATTCATCACTGGGGGAAGCCAGGACAGGAACTCAAGTCAGGGTCTTGAAGGCAGGAAGTCAAGCAAAGGCAATGGAGGAGTGCTGATTACTGAATTGCTCCCCAAGGCTTACCCAGCCTGCTTTTTAACCGAGAATCAACTTCCCAGGAGTGGCACAGTCCACAGCAGGCTGGGCCCTCCCACAACAAATAACAATCAAGGCAGTGCTCCAAGGACATGCCCACAAATCAATCTGATGGGGACAATTTCTCAATCCAGACTCCTCTTCTAAGGTGTGTGTTGGGTTGACAAAAACAATGACATCAGGGCCATTGACTCTCACCAAATGAGGAAACTAAAATGCAGGGGACCCTGAAAGGTGCAGACATTTGCACAGTTAACTGGCAAAGGGCAAAGCTGGTGTTGAATCTGAGGCTGACATTTGCACTGGGCAGTGAGGGTCAGTAAAGAAGAGTTTATGATGGTAGTCACAGTTTAGGATGATAGAAAGTTCTAGAAATGCAGTCTCTGCTGCAGGGCAATGCAAATGTGCTTAATGCCACAAACTATGCACTTAACAAAGATTACCATAATAGCCACTGTTCAATAGTAAATATACAGTTGATATCAAAGTATTTTAAGAATTTATTAGCAAATTCTCAGCAGATTTTGACATTAGACATAAGATATCCTCTACCCTGTACCCCATTAACATGCCAAAATTCAATGAGTGACAATAAAAGTATAAAGCCCCAAGGTGGGGAAAATGAAGAAACAAAGAACCAGGGATTCCTGCCTTCAAACTTATGAACTGTGTGACCTGGACAGGCTGTAGAGCCTCTCTGTGCCCATTTGTTAAGACATCCCTCTCTGGGTCTCAACGAGTTCAACCAAGTCAGAGACAGCATTGCTCACAGGGCAGCAACTTCCTCAGCCTGCCTCACCAGCTCTGCCAGGTCCAAGCCATAGGCGCCACTGGCCATTCTGCACAAAGAGGTAGGGCAGGGCTGTGTTCCAATAACTTTCTTGACAAGAGTACCAGCTGCCAATGCTGCTGTGGACCCTGGTGCTTGGTAAGAGCTTTGCTACAATGTTCTAAGAACTAGAACATCTGCCAATCCACTATGCAAGCTCATGAGACGCCTAACACTTCCTGGGCAGTTCTGGAAAAGTGCATCAAAGCCAGAGGCAAGAGCAGGATGCCATCCCTGACCCCATCACCTCCTTTACTCTGTGCTGTCCTCAGAATGCTGGCTTTCTCTCATCTACATCCAGCCAGGGCCTTTCCTTCATCTTATGTGTATGAATGTCTCCCTGTGGGTATTCCTGAGCCAGCGCCAGCAGAGGCCAGGAAGGGGCATAGAACCTCCTGGAACTGGAATTGCAGATGGTTGTGAGTTGGCATATAGGTGCTAGGAACCCAACCCAGGTCTTCTACAAGAGCAGCAAGTGCTCTTAAATGCTGAGCCATCGCTCCAGACCCCCAGCCAGGGTTTTGATCCGACATGCAATTATCTCTCCCAGCTCATCACTGTCCTTGTGTCCACTTCCTTCCTGCCTCCTCCACTCTCAGAGCTTACCTTCCACCCCCACATGCTCCTGCAGCCTGTAGCCCCTGTGCCTTCAGCTGCCCATGGAACCACATAAGCCAAGCAAGCATTTCCCCAATGGAGTCGGGGGATTGCTGACCAACCCAGAATCGTCTTTTCCCCCTCAGATTAGATTACAGCAGCCCTGATGGCTAGGAGGATATTATGGTGGCATGTTTCCACAGAAAGCAGGGAGAAGGTACCTCAAACCTCACGCTACCCCACAGGAAGGTGGTGATACACTGCAGGGGTCAGCGTCCAGGTCATGGAGGGCCCGCTGATCTTCTGCTCCACCTCTTATGATCTCTACCTGCACAGGCCCAGTGTGTCTATAATAAGAGCCGTCACTGCAGAAGTGGGAGGTAGAGCCCTGCAAGCTGCCCTCCTTATATAACCCTCACTCCCACAGAGCATAGAGACTGGGTGTCTTGCCTGGAGACACAGAACCACCGTGGAGACCTGAGTTCACCTCGCCCATTACTGTTTCTTAGGATCATCAGCTTAGCTGGAGAAGGACAAAAGAGAGCTGCCAGCATGGGCATCTGCCCTACTATAGAGCTAAAGGAAAGGACACAGCTTGTCACAAACTTACCATCACAACCATTTGATAAGAGGACTACACCTCTGATCCCCCAGATAGCATAGCAAAAGAGAAACATTGTCTCCATTTATACCCAAAATGAAGAGTGAGAGAGTTTAGTCCTCTTGCCCAGGACCTTGCAGCAGTAAGAATCAGGACATAGATGAGTCTGGTGGATACATCCCGTCACCTTGGAGGAAGAGATCCACCCAAGAGAATGGGGATCATAGTAATAATCTCCCTAAGGGAGAACCCCAATCCAAAAGCCCAGGTGGAAAATGCCTGCCAGTTCCAGTTAAGCGGCACACTGGGTTCTAAGACGTCTCAGTTCCCCAGATCCTTCGTGGGCTAGATCTGTATAAGGGGGAACCACACGAATCCTGTTGCTGCACACGTGTATGAGGCTCTGGGAGGTACAGACAGGGAGTCACACAGTCTGGTAAATAAAAAGAAAACCACAAGAATGTAACTCAAGTGTAAAACCTTGACAAAAAGGGGACATTATTCTAGAGAAAGAGAGAAAAATTTAGAAAACTTGTATGCAAACACAACCACGGAATACAAAAGTGGCTGAGACAGGACAGCAGAAAAGGGATCCGGTGGGTCAGGGAAGACAACAGTGGGGACCATGGGACTCTGCAGATGGTTTGTGGTCTCATCTGGGACCAGGGAACTTTTGAGGATTTCTTGTTGTGAAAAGGGCAAGGTGAAAACACCTCCACTCCTGGGAAGACCCCAGCAATCTGACCTGGAGCGAGGTCCCACAAGCATGTTCCAGCAATCCTCAGCATCACAACTGAACCCACAAAATGAGCTTCCAGCACCACCACACTTCAAACCAGTCCCTCCCAGTTGTCCCGCCCAGCTGACGGAACTGCCACCAACCAGACCTCTGTCCCAGAGAAACAGCCAGCTCCTCCCCCAGCCTTATTTACACATCAGAAACGCCCAAGTTACAGGAGGTGACACCAGGTGTGGTTGGCCTTACCCTCTTCACCTAGGCTGGTTTGGGAGGCGCAGCCATCCACTGTGAAGGCCCAGGGTGACAGGCCCTGCCATAACAGGAAGCTTGAGCTGGCAAGGAGCTCCTTTCTACTCTACTTTGTTCTACAAGGAGCTGGCCAGATGAATGAAGGGCGTGCCCAAAATGGGCACAGCACAGCAAAGGCCAAGGTCAGTGTGCCCGAGTACACACTAACGGCAGGTGGCTGAGCACCGGCCAGGGCCAGCAGACCTTATCTTTGAGCCTGCTGCACAGAGCGGACAGGCGGAGAAGGGAAGAGAGTGCTGGAAGGGGAGCGAAAAGGCTCAAGCCTGGCCAGTGGTCTAAAAGGGCCTATCGGGATCCCGCAGCTGGGAGGATGGAATGATGGACAGAAGGCCTAGGAAAGCGCAGCTCCCTAACACGAGGCCGAAAGGTCGACGGCCTGATAGCCAGGAGCACAGCATGGTAACCGGCGAGGTGCCCTGCACCGCGGAGCCGATCCTGGGACCTGCCCCGAACGCCGGTGTACCCGGGGAGCGCCGCTGGGCACAGGGTGGGTACCAGCCTTTCTTCGCAGCGCCCCAGCCTTCCCCCCGGCGCACACGTGGGCGGAGCGGCGCGAGGGTGTGCGTAGCCCGGCAGCCGCAGCGTGTGCATTGCGTGGGGTGGGATACCGCCAGGACGGCCTCTCCCTCCCGGTCACCCCTACAGACTCTGGGCTCCACCTAGGCGGGGACCTGAAGGACAGAAAGCCGCCGGCCAACCACGCCCCCTCCGCGCCACTCGCTGAAGCCGGGGGGAGGGGGTTCTCTCCCACTCCTCAGCTCCTGGGCGTAAAGGGGGAGACTAGTGGAAAGTGGGGTGGCGTGAGCGACACAGGGGAGCCAGGGACCAGTGTCGGGGAGCGCCGCGGCCACAAGAAGGATTGGGGGTCTGGAGAGAGTGGGGGAGGGGAGATGGGCGGGGCCAGGAGGTGGGAATAAGCGGTGCAGGGCTGTCGTGAGGGGTGCGGAGGCTGGGGTGGGGGTCGGACAGGCAGCACCGGTAAAGGTGCCCCCGTCGCAGGGTCCGCCCACTGGGTGCGGTGTCCTGGGCCCTCTCCCTCCGCGGCACACCTGTACCCACCTGCTTGACGCTCGGACCTGAGCCGGGCAGCAGCCGAGCACCGCATTCTCCGGCCGCCCCCTCCCCGCGCGTGCCTATGCTGCTGTCGCCGTCGCTGCCGCCGCCTTAGAAGGGACGAGACAGGACAGAAAATGAATGCATGCAAAAAAATAAAAATAAAAAACCTAGACCATAGCCAAGGAGGCTCGGCCCGCTGGGGACCCTTGCGCGATGCGGGGACGGCAAGGACGGGCACCGCACACTAGCGGCTGCAGTTCGGTGGGCGCCGGGCGCCGGCTCCCAGTGCGGCCCCGCCCCCTCCCGCATCTTTTCTTCGATTGGTGCATCCTCCCGCCAGTCAGTAGGGAGGGCGTGGCGTCCTCCCAGCCCGGGGCGAAAGCCCAGAGCGGTGGTCAGCTCCTGGCGCAGGCGAGCGTGCGCATTGGGTTGGGAAGGCCTGGGGGCTGTTAGTCCGGACCTCCGGCCATCGCAGTCAGGAGCAACACTGGGAACCTGTCTCAGACCCGTGAAGCTCGCGCCCTGCCTGCAGAGGCCTCCTACTCCGGGATGGTGACCAACCTGGGAAAGGTGACGCGATGGTGATGTATCTGCCCCCTCTTTGTGCTAATGGGAAACCTGAATATCGGAGGATAAAGCGAAATGTTCAAGGTCACAAGTGGTAAGCAGAAGACGCAGGATTCCAATGGTTCTGACATCTTCCATCATTGAGCAAAGCAGCACCAAGCCTACTTCATGACAATGCGATGTGGTAATCGAGGTCTTGCAGGAGAGTAGGGTTTAGCAAGGCAGAAATTCATTTGCTCAGTGTCGGTCTACAGATATGTATTGAGAACCTACTGTGTTGTCCCTAAGTTCTAAGGATACCATAGTGTACAAACCATCAAAGATGGGGAAGAGCAATCCATCCCCAGGGAATAGCGTCTAAAGACACTGTGGTATACTTGAGACTCTGAGAAAGAACGTCTGTATCAAGGCAAGAAAGGAGACTGGAAAGGTGAGAAAGAAGGGATGGTCAGAGGCCGGCACTTTGAAGTCTTAGGAGCTGTGAAAAGACATTTGGAATTTACCCTGAGACTGTTTCACCTTGGGAAAAACTGCTGTCAGATTCACTTTTAATGTACCAGTCAGGATGAATTCTGGTGAGCCAAAGTAACAAACAAGCCGGAATCTCATTGACTTGTGCTTATACTATTCATCCTGCTTAGGTCAGTGGAGCTCCGTTGATGGACATACGTCACAGGCCCACACTTAGGAGAATTGGATTAGAAGGCACACCCACAATTTGCAGTGTGAAGGAAAGGTTGCCTGATACAGGTGTTTGTAAAATCAACCCTCCAACCTCAAAAGCCCAACACTCCCCCTTGCATTTCATTGGTCAAAGTAAGTCACGTGGTCACACCTGACTTCAGAGAGTGTAGATCCTCCCCTGAACTGGGGAGGGAAGATCCAGAATGTTTGTGAGGGACTCCAAGGATGTGATTAACAACAGAGCAACTGTAAGGAGAGCATGGACTGAAATGAGGGCTGGGTAGCAAAGCTTGGAACAAAGAAAGGTCACTGCGACTGTGGGACTTGCTGGTGGCTTGAACACGGATAGCAGAGATAAAACAATAGGGATGAAGCCCCGGTGTTTCAGGGATGAAGCCCATCTCTCTCTGTTCCTCACAAAAACGACCTTTGGCAACAGGATCGTGGCAAGTGTCGTAAATGAAAATGAGGCTATCATGTACCTGACCCTTCATCTATGAAAATGGATGCAGACACACACACACAGGAAGGACTTAGTTTGCGAGCTTGAAGATAACAACAAAACACCAAAGATCAACAACCCAGCTTGAGAAAAGAGCAGAGGGGAGGATTCTGAGAGCCTCCAGGGAGTTTGGCGCTGAAGCGGGCTTAAGTAGTAGCATTTTCTCTTAGAGCTGAGACAATAAGTTTCTGTTACCAGAGCCACTGAGTTCGCCCTGCTTTGATACATGTGTATCAGTTACGGACTACATTTAGCCACAAGTTATCCAAGCACTGTTACACAGTAGGTTCATTTTTTCCCACTTAACAAGAAACCCAGTGCAAGCCAACTCAACTTTCTCCGCTCATTTCCTCCTCAGCATGAGATTTCCTTTTCACAGTAGGAAAGAAGCAAGCTGGTTGGCTATCTTCAAACATCCTATCATCACTCTAGGCTAGAGAGGGAGATACAAAATACACACACACACACACACACACACACACACACACACACACACACACCTCCTTTCAACAGCTTTTCTAGAAACTCTTCCAGAGGCTCCCATTCAAAATGCTTGACCAGAACAGTGGCACAGCACCTCTGACTTCAGATGAAGCTGGATTTCTTTTTTAATTAAAGAAGTATTTTTCAAATACATGAGAAAAAAATGATGCCATGGAGTTCTGTTAATGGGTAAGAGAAGAAGAATGAATCCTGAACAGACTTCTGTGTGGTGAAGTTGCATGGTGCCCAGAGTTTCTAAAATCAAAAGTTCTCCTTAAGAAGAACGAGAGTTACAAAATTCTGTGCAAATTTTCATTTAGAATATTTATTTAGAATAATTGGGGCCATAGAGATGATTCAGTAGAAAAGCATCTATCAGTAGGTCTGATGATTTGAGAACCAAAGGAGAGAACCAACTCCCACAGTGGTCCTCTCTCTCTCTCTCTCTCTCTCTCTCTCTCTCTCTCTCTGTGTGTGTGTGTGTGTGTGTATCTGGCTGGCTGTGTCTGTCTGTCTGTCTGTCTCTCACACACGAATAGACCACACATACACTCACACACACTATACATGTAAACACAGGCACACATACACTATATACAGAAAGAAAGAAACATATATAAATGTATAATTATTTTTATTTAGAATAACAAAATACAATGAATTTTTTCTGTAACTAGATAGACACTATAAACATTAAAAGACTCAGAAAATAGTACGACAACTGTATTGCTGACGGACCTGACAGGCAAACACCATTATAGTCCTTTGGTAATTTATTTTTTTCATCTATTTTGTGTGACTTCATGAGCTAATGACTTGATAGCACTCTTTTCTATGCAGAAAGCTTAGAAATGGATAGTTCAGAGTTCCATAACGAGGAAACTTTGATGCCAATAGAAAAAGATTCTCCAGACTCATTATGAGCAATGTTGCACATTTTCAAGACTGTTCACAGTTAGGGGAACTGGTATCTTCCTTCATAAATGCTTGATGTGAACTTATTTGTTATAAATATATTTTATACAGGTCTTACTCAGCCTTTGTTGTATTTCGTTATTCTAAATAAAATATTAAGTGTGTGTGTGAGTGTGTGTGTGTGTGTGTGTGTGTGTATCACCATGGGAGCTGGTTCTCTCCTTTCACACTGTGAGTGCCAGGGATTGAACTCAGGTTGTCAGACTCAGCGACAGGAGCTTTTACACACTGAGCCAGCTCTTTGTCCCCAACTATTCTAAATAAATATTCATCTTGCACCTATAGTAGAATTCAGTCAGTCCTCCTGCCTCATCCCCTAGAAGAAGGGGGTGATGACTGTGTAGCAATACACACTGGCAATACACTCTGATGAGGGGAACATCTGCCTCAGAACTGCAAACAGAAGGGAAGCAGGCCAGCAACGTCCAGTCGTGAGGCCCATCCCTGACACCTAGGAAGAAAAAAGAAAAAAAACCCAGGTGCCCAAGCTCCCCCAGGTCCACTGAATGAAGGGTCCCAGTGGCAGGCTAAGGCTCTGCAATTGTGTAGCGCGTCAATCGCATTCTGAAGTCTGCTGGTGCCGGCAGTGTGTGTTCACTGACTCTCAGGGCCCTGTTTGCTAATCCTGGCCGGGACATTTTATCACACCAACAGGAAATGAAATTCAGACAGTGTTGGTCATGGGAGCCCATACATCAGGCCATCCCAGACCTTGGAAGGGGCAATGCTTGACCTCTCAAGCTTGAAGGTGACTGTACCCCAGTGCCACTGTGTGACCGCTGCATAACCGTCAGCTAGGCCTGGTGAGAAATGTGCCACCATGCTGTCTCAATAAAGGACAGGCAGTTGGGCCCAGGTAGCAAGCACCCGAGGACACACCTAGTATCCAAAGCTGCACCCTAGCACTATGTCATATGGACCCAGCCCTAAGTCCAAGGCTCAGCTCCACACAATGACACTCAAAGTGTCCCCAGCATAGAAAATCCTTCTGAGAGGTCCAGAGAGCCACCCTGTGGTGGGAAGTCCACTTCTGAGAGGGAGAAGGATTTCAGGGGATGATGAACCAGAGAATGATTGGTAACTACGGGCAACTCTGCAACTCCCACAAAATAGAAAAAAAAAAAAAGACCATCCTTTGATAACCTTGAAGGTAGTTCACACTGAGGCTCTTGTTCTGCACAGAATCTTTCTGAAGGTGTGGTCAGGGGCTGCAGAGTTTCCTCCAAAAATTAGGAATTTGTGAGCCTAGCTTGATCCTCACAGTCAGGCCTTATGGCTTCATGCTGGGAGCTGCAGGTTTCCCAGCCAGGATACTGCTTCCTTGGTTTGCACCATTGCATGGTGTAGTTTGCTTTCTGCAAATTCTGTGGAAAGATTAAACAGTGTAGGCGATTGTGGAAAGGAAAACAAAGAGCACCTTCATACCTCTGAGTAAATTCATAAACACTTGATGACTTTGCCTTCAATGTCTCTCCTTGTGTGCAAACACTCACATAGAACTTTTAGTTGTGGGAACTTTCGAGACAAGGTTTCTCTGTGTAACAGTCCTGGATGTCCTAGAATTCATGTTGTAGACCAGGCTGACCTCAAACTTACTGAGATTCACCTGCCTCTGCCTCCCAAGTGCGCCACCACTGCCCAGCTCCACAGAAATTTCTATGAAGTGCAGACTCTCTCCCCAGCCCTGCCCCATCACACCTCACCATTGGCCCATCTCCATAGCCTGGCTAGTTTCCATTTTGTTTTCAGTACAAGGGGTTGAGCCTACGATGTCAGATTGGAAGGCAAGTCTCTAATGCTGAGACATTAGCCGCATTTGTCTGGATCTCACTCCGCATTCCCATCAGCACCTCAGGAAAAGCCCTCTAGCGCTCTGGGGTCTCTAATTCTCCTTCTGAGGGGCTGAACTCCACACTGCAATGCACGTTCCTCTTGGCCAACCTCTCTATTGCCATTCAGGAACAATGGCAGGAAACACTCTTCCACACATGTCCGTAGGTGACAGGAGTTCTGTTTCTGTGAGATGTCTCCTAAGGGCAGAGTTGCCGGTTTCTGGGCCTAGTCTAATTTTTAATAGATGTTCCTAGGACCCTAGGAGTAACATATTACTCCTGCATCCTTATTTCACATGATCAACCCATGTTACTGCGTGCTGCAGCATTAACAGAGAATCATAAGGCGGTCCTGTCCTTATAAATTATT